ACCACGGGCCCGCCCTACCGACACAGGAGTTACCTCGCTGTACTTGTTTGGATGCAGGAGGTTGGGAGGGAGGGAGGGAGGGAAGGAGGGAGGGAGGAGGTGGAAGAGGAGGACGAGGAGGAGGAGAAGGAGGAGGAGGAGGAGGAGGAGAAGGAGGAGGAGGAGAGGGGAAGAGGGTAGAGGCGGATGAGGACGAGTCAGGCATCAGTGACCGCGCCCTCCCATCGGAAGTGGACATGGAGTCGATTGCCCTCGTGTGCACAGCTCGGGCTCTCGCAGTGAAGGGGCGTCCGCCGTGGACCCGCACCGTGGCACACCCCTCCCGCGCTCCTAACCGTCACAGGGAGCTCTCCACGCGTGAACCTAGTAGCTCAGGGGCAGCGTTAGCGGGGGATTGGCTCAGGGGTGGACGCATTGACCCCCGATCGCCCAGTCATCGCCGACAGTGCAGGTCCGTTGAGCGTTCCCCCTTAGTGGCGGTGCCTCCTATCAGCTCAGACTGGTCCACCCCTTGAGCATCCCTAGAGGGAGCCACGACCAAGGCGCCAGTGCACGCGTCCGCACATCGGTAATCAACTCAGGAGTGCAAACAGTCCCACCCATTTCGACATCGCGTACGTAGGGGGCCCCAGCCAGGGTTACATCGTGCCCTGCCCCTCCCTGTCCCGATCCCTGTCCACACTCCCTCTCGCCCAGCCCTGTGGTCCGAACCTCTGGCGCGAGTTTTTGGGTTTCTCCAGCTGCAATTGTCAAGTGCGCCCCTCTTTCCAAGGAGGCAGCAGGGCCCACCCCGAAGACGTGGTGCCACCTTCCCAACACATGCCCCTCAACAAATCCGTCACGTTGCAGATCCAGCATCACCTTTGGACGTCCCCGTCGGCTCGAAGATGCGCCCCTGATTTTTCCACTGCGCGATCCGCAGCTGTTTTTGGCTCAAGGTGCTGCGCGACCGCTGAGGTGTTGCCGAGCGCGCTCGTGGGGGGCGCTGGGGCGCCGCTGCAGCTCGTCGGCGGCGCGCCGAGGGGGGAAGGGAGAGAGGGCCGGCCTTCGCGGAAGGCGGCGGGGCTTCTCATCTGGCCCTCCGGCCTGCGGAGACGCCCCCCGCGTGCCTCAGGGCAAGGCTCAGAGAGCTTCTCGGAAGGCCGGCATGCCTCCTGAGCCCTCTGAGGAGGCCCAGCTCCCTGTCGCTTCCCCCCCAGGGCTCGCCGCCCGCCGTCGCTTCCCCCCCCCTCTTCTTGCCGCGCGGCGCATGGCCCAGGTCGGCGTCACCCCAACATAGTTATATACTATGTGTGCGTCGCCCCCGCAGTGGCGACGCGCGCAACGAGAAATCTTCTAGTGTATGCGTCGTGGGGGGCGCTTTCTGGCCACACCGCTCGGGAAACGATCTGCTACAATATGGGTATACTATGTGTTCGGGTCGGACGCGCGCCTCCAAGGCTCGGAAGCTGGGCAAGGGCTGCTAAATCCGTGGCTGCTAAAATCGACCTCCTGGAAGTTGTCTTCGAGAGTCTTCGTCCTTCCGGGAATAAGCCCGTTGACTGTTTCGCGTGCCGCGCCTCGTTCCGGGAAGCTGTTTTCTTCCCTCCGGAAGGGCCGCTTTAGCAGCCACGGTGTTAGCAGCCCTCGCCCAGCTTTCGAAAGGCGGACGTATAGTACTAGTACGTCCCTGTGCGTCCGGGTTCCTGGACAAGGCGCGCCTTTGCAAGCGCGTTGATTTCGGCACCGCCTGATCCCGAGGCTTTGCCTCCTCCCCGCCATCGCCCTGAGGCTGCGCTCATTCCCTCCTCCCCCTCTTTGTTAATTCAAGCTTCGCGCGGCCCGCTTAGCTTCGACCGGAAGTCAGCGAGCGAAGAACGGATAAAATCAACTTTTTCGCTGTCGGGGGCGCCTGTCCCAGGGCGTCTGGAAAGTTTATACCCTTCTTAAGAAAGAGGTGCGCTCTCGACCCGCGAATCGAAAAAAGTCTCTGTGCGCCCCGCGCCAGGGGCGCGCCGGCAACGGGGCCCGCGCGCTGGACCTCCTGCTGGCGGGCCCGCACTGCGGCGCGAGCGAGGTGCTGGAGCTGTCGCAGTGCTGCGCGGCCCTCCGGGGCGCCGCGGGCGAGGAGCCCTCCCCACATAGTTACCCTTAAGTCGGGCGTGTCCCCCCCTACAGGGGGATTTGCGACGAAAAGTAAAACATACCCCCCAAAGAGTCCAAACATATTCCAAAAATCGTCGGGGGGCTATTTTTTGAATATTTAGTTGACCTTTTGTTGTTTTTGTTTTTTCTCTTTAATATATATATATATATATATATATATACATTATATATTATATATGTATGTATGTATGTATGTATGTATGTATGTATGTATGTATGTATGTATGTATGTATGTATGTATGTTTGCATGCATGTATGCATGCATGTATGTATGTATGTATGTATGTATGTATATATATATATATATATTTCGTCGAAAATCTCCTTCGAAAATCCCCCTGCAGGGGGACAGGCCCGACTTAACCATAATTGCCCCCTTGCGCGCGCCGCCAATCCTTGCCCCGCCGGTCTGCCCCTCTCCCCAGACCTGCCCTCGTCGCGGCAGAGAGCACGACAGCGGGGGGGGGGGGGCATCCGTCCGTCCTCTTAGGCCCTCGGGGGAGCCCCCCATCCCCAGACCTGCCCTCGTCGCGGTCTGCGCCGACCCTCCCTCGTCGCCGGCACTGCGGCGCGCCGAGGGAGGGTCGGGGAACAAGCAAGTACACGAGCATGAAGTCGGGCCTGTCCCTCTGCAGGGGGAATATTCCAAAGTAGTAACAAACATAGTCCGGAGACGACTTCCCACTATTTTTGGTCATTCCGGTGTATTTTTGGACATTTTTTTTTTGATTTTCGTCCAACATCGGCCTGTAGGGGGACACGCCCGACCTGAAAGTACACAAGCATGAACTGTTGGAGATCTGCGCGGATTTCTCCTGGATTGGCGAGGGAGCCCCCTGGTTCTCCGGCTCTCCGGCGCCGCCGCCGGCGCGCTCCGCGCGCCAGGAAGGGTGCCCAGCGCCGATCCAAGAAAAGGCATCGCGGACCTCGACAAGTTTGGGCTGGTGCAGCGTTTCGTCCCTCTTGGGGGGGGGGGCGGACCTTAACACAAGGCTCAGCAGGCCTCGGGCCTCCTGAGAGGCTTTCTGGGATTTTTCCCGAAGCCACAGGGGGCTTCTCAGAAGGCCGGGGGGCTTCTGAGAAGCCCCGCCGCCCTCTGACCAGGGCTTCTTCCCCCTTTGCCCTCCGCGCTCCGTGCGCCGGCGCGAGGAGGCAGTCTGGAAGGCGCTGCTGACCCTCCGCAACGGCGCCGTGCTGAGGGCCCTCTTCGACGACGAGCTGCCAGTCCCGCGAGAAGGGCGCACGTGGAAGGAGCACTTCTTCGACTTCGAGCGGGACTGGCTCCAGCTGGCGCAGGAGCGCTCTGGACGGCGGCTGGTCCGCATGAACGCGGTGTGCGCCATGGGGTGCGATTGGCCAGACTACGGTGTTCGAGAAGCAAAAACGGCATCAACAACGTTTCTCGGATATCCGCGCGGATTTTTTTTGATCGGCGCTGGGCCCCCCTGGCGGCGCCTCCAGCGCCGATCTGCGAAGCCCGCGCGGACCTCCGAGAGATCATGCTGCCGTTTCGTGTTCCTCCAGGTGTGCCGTGGCACCTGGACCAGCCGCGGTGCGCCTGCCGTGGCGCCATCTGCCGCCGGACGCGGCGCGCCTACGGCGTCTACGACGTGACGGAGTTCACCCCGCTGCACCCCGGGAGCGACGCGCTCCTGCGGGCCACGGAGGTGGCCGACGCCACCGCGCTCTTCGACGGCATCGCCCACTCGCAGCAGGCGCGGCGGCTGCTGCGCAGCATGGCCGTGCCCGGCCTGGAGGCCCTGGTGCCCTGGGACGCGCTGCGCCCCGTGCCGCACCGGCCCGAGACCGCAGCGGGGCGCCTCCAGGTTCGGGCGGCAGCGCTGGGGCATCGCCAAGGGGGCAGCGGGTTCCGAGCGGAGCGGGCCCCGACGTTTTTTTTCGCCGTCTCTGGGCTCACGACCAGGCACGGCCGCGAGGATTTTGCTTGATTCGGATACGGAGAAGAAAGGGAGCCCTCCACGGGCCCTGGGACCGTCAGAGAACGACTCAGGGATGAAGAGCTGGTCCTGGGGGAGGGCCACGGGGTCCAGGCCCTGTTTCCATCGGGACCCTCTTCCTCCTCGCCAGAGAGGAGGCCATGAGAGCGTGGGGGATGTCGAGGACTGCCGAGGGAGGCGGCTCCGGCGTGGGCCCCGAGTGTGGCCCCTGAGCTTCGGGGGTGGACAGACAATCCCCGCCCCGACTCGGGCGATCGCAAGCATGGATCCAGGGGGCGTGGTTTAGCGACGGGCCCCGTGTCCGTGGGAAGTCGCGGATTTCCACCGCCGAGCGAGGCGGCATCGGCCGCATTCTGGCGAGGGCACCTCCCCCGATCCATGGATCTAGCGACCGCGCGCCAAGTCTATGGATCGCTAATCCTTGTTCGCGCGCCCCCGACCGACACGTCGATCAGTGAGCTGCCCGCTGTCGGTTCTCGAGGAGGGCGCCGCGTCTGGCATGCTCCAGGCTTGCGCCCGCCAGGTGCGGGCCCGAGGTCGTTTCACCAAGCCACGTTCTAGGGGGAGCCTGCCACCGCGGGACCCAACAGGTGCACGAGAGGCGCACGCTCTTTCACCCCGCGCTGCCTGCCCCCCGCGTTGCCCATCGGTCCTTGGAAGCGGTGCGTGTCCTCGGAATTCCCAGAACCCCATCTGCTTCCAGCGCCTTCCTGCTCCGAGAGTCGGTGTCTGCTTCTGCCGCGTCTCGTTGCTCGCCTGGGCGGGCCCGAGCCCAGTCTGCTCTGTCCGCCTTCCTGCTTCATGTTTCTGCCTGCTTCTTCCGACCGATGGGTACAGTGCCGTTTTTAATACATGCTCCGTGTGCGGATCATGCATTACAAATGCAGGGATTTAGTATTAAACACAGCGATGAGTTCATGCATATATTTATTCACTTTTTTTTTGTAAAAAAAACAAGTTTAAAAAAAAAAAACATCCTATGTATTCAAAACTGCCCTGTAGCGAGCACCCAGCAGGTGCTGCTGTGCTCGGCCGCGGACTGGCTCTGCCGCGAGCTGTCCTCCGTCCCGCAGCGGCTGCGGCGCCTCGGCGCCGGCGGGAAGTGGCTGTCGGCCGTGCTCAGGGTCTCTGGTGCGATGCGATGCCCTTACTCCTGAGGATGTCACCACCCACCAAACCACCCCAACCCAACCCGAAGGCTCAGATTTACCCTCGATTTCCAGTGGGGGGGGGTCGGGAAACATAGAAAAAACACCTGTGGAACCCTTACCCCCCCAACCCGAAATTCGGGTCTTCGGGTTGGGTTGGGGTGGTCTGGTAGGTAGTCAGGACGTACTCGGTGCTGGCTCTGTCCTCCGCGCACCTCCTTGGCGCCGATCTCTCCGCTCGCGCGCGCTGAGCGGCGAGTGCACGACCGCACGCGGCTGCGCAGCCTGCTCGATAGCCGTGCGAGCTGCTCCTTTGTGCATGTGCGCGAGCTACACTCGTGGGACGCAGGCACTGGTGTATATACGACTAGATTGGCTGGGTATCTCGTACAGATGTTAACGAACCGTTCATATGCATGGTCGAGCTGATGTTCACCTGCGCCTCTGAAGAGAGGACCGTATAGGATAGTATAGGGAATCTCGACGCGTTTTAAGCCTAATTCCCAGCGGCGCCCGTGCGGCGACGTTCTGCCCAAGTCAGAGGCGTTTCCGTTCCACGGAGGTCTCAGCCTCGCGCAACCCGCGACGTCTGACCGAAGTGCGAGCCGCGGCGCTGGAACAGGCGTGCGGCGAAGTAGTCCTTCTCCATTTGTTGTGTTGAGGGAGCGCCGCGCCCTGTAGCAGTTGCCAGGTCAGCCGAGAGCGCGGCGTGGTATGGCAAAACCGCGCCTCTTCTTTCAGGCGTTTCTAACAGGAGGGTTTCGCTCTCAGCCGTCGGCCCACCCACTGACGGGTTCGTGTCTTGGGGGCCGTCGGGTCGGGCATGTGCGTGAAGCTCATTGCTTGGGGCTATCTTGGGCCTTTCAGGGCCGTGTCGGCGTATTTTCTATAATCTCGGGCCATCTCGGGGCCTTCCCAAGACCATCTTGGGGTCGTCCCGTGTCTTCATACTCTGGGCGCGTCCCCTTTCTTCCCAGGTGGGAGGGGGATGAAGGGATGCGGGAATGCGGAGTGGGTCTGGGGGCGGTCGGCGGATTGGGGATCAGGGGGAGGGGAGAGGGATGGTAAGGGAGAGGACAGGCACGGGTATTCTTGGTGTCGCCTAGTTTTTTTTTCCTCCTTCCTTTTGGGCCACCTCAGGGTCCGGATGAGCCGTCCTGGGAGTTCTTGAGAGCATCTGGGGGATTGTCAGGGCCACTTTGGATCAATCTGGCATCTTGCAGCAATCTCGGGGCCCCAGGGCAACGCGCGATTGGCAAGACACATCGAATGTCGTTCGTAATTGACTTTTGTTTTGGCCGCGGGGGGCAATCTTGGAGGCCGCCGTGGGCGAGCAGGAAGGGCATCTGGACCGTCTCGGAGGTCACCTGGGCAATCCGAGGCATCTTGAAGGCTTCTGGAAGCATCTTCGATGCATCTTGGCTTTTCGCTTCTGTGACACAGCTACATGCCGAAGAAGCGCGGTCAGAAGGGACTGGCTGACCTGACAGCACGCGGTCACGCCGTGTTGGGGTGTCGGGCGTTCTGTAAGAGATCGTGCTGCCTTTCTGGAACGATTACACATCTCCTCCGCTGAGACAAGCGAGCCGAGGAAGAACAGCAGGCTCGGAAGCACGCCTTGCGCTTGAAAGTGAAGACGCGCAGTAACTGACAAGGAAGCCTGCTCCTCGCAGCTTGGGGGCCCCTCGGGGGGTGGGGGTACGCTTACGTCGGGCATGTCCCTCTACAGGAGGAATATTCCAAAGTAGTAAATAACATAGTCGGGGGACGTTTAATGTAGTTTTTTTTTTTTTTTGTGTGTGTGTGTGTTTGCGTGTGTGTATTTTGACTATGCGCTCTCGACCCGCGAATCAAAAAAGTGTATTTATCTGACTATGCTTCATTTTTCGTCCAACGTCCGCCTGCAGGAGGACGTGCCCGACCTCAGCGTACGGCCGTTCCCTGGAGGGGTCTCCGGAGGTCCGCGCCGGGAGGCCTCCGCGCAAGCCGCCCCGGGGGGGCCCCGGGGAGGACCACAGAGACGCCCGAGAGCCTCGATCTTCAGCCTCCGATCTGCGCGCCTCGAGCCTCGACGGCGGCGACGACGATAGCCTGGCATCGCTCGGACGTGTGCATTTTTTTCTCGGCGAGAGCCATCGAGGACCATCCTGGACCAGCGAGCAACAAAAAAAGGCGCACGAAACCGACAAATGCACAGGAAGTGGACGTCCGAGCGATGGCACGAGAGGGGAGGGCGAAGCATGCCACAAACATCGAAACTCGGAGGTTCGCGCGGATTTCTCGGAGCCGCGCCTGACCCCGCTGGCGCGCCCCGCGCGCCAGGGAGGGGGTCCAGCGCCGATCCGAGAAATCCGCGCGGACCTCCGAGTTTTTCTGTTTATGCCATTCTGTGTTTCCCCTATCGACGACAGCGACGACGAGGACGACGGCGACGACGACGACGGCTGAAACTTCGTGCAGGGCGGACGGGTGAGAGCAGATGCTGATCGACCCCCCACCCCCTGCCAAACCTGAGGTGGTGAGGGTACCGAGGCGTCTGGCGGCTCGAAGAAGTACAGATGATGAGAAGCCGGCCTCAGGGGAATGGGGGGGCTCAGGTCTGCCGAGCAAACATGGACGCCAGATGTCTGGGTAGTTGTAGCTTCGGCTTCGGCTACGCGAAGGAGTGACCCTTTGCCAGAGTGACCTCTGGTGCGGGCCCATAGGGGTCCTCCCAGCTCGCGCCCGTGGGCTTGGCCTCGCCGCGGCCTCCCGAAACCGCGCACCCGAGGTCACTCCTTCCCAGGGTCGGTCTCCCGTGTAGCCGCCAGCCCCTGTTGCCCACCAGATCTTTGTCGCTTGTCTGCGCCAGGACGACGCACGGGTTGAGGCGGTGTCGCTGCAGTTCCGCACGCACCGGTCGCTGTGCATCTCGTCGCAGGCGGCGCCACGACAGTCACGCTCTCCTGGGCCAGGGGGGAGGATCTCGGTTCCTCGGCTCCTGGGCCCTGGCTCCCTCGGCTCCTCGGCTCCTCGGTTCCTCGTCCGTGGCGCTCGCGTGCTCCCCAGCCGCGGCAGCACAGCGCGGGAGGGCCGCGCCGGGCAAGGGCACGTGCCGGAGCAGGGCTGGACCCAACAGTTGGTTTGCTGGACCTCGGCCGTGTCTCGTTTTTCGTTTTGGCAGGGATGTGCAGGAGAACATGTAGATGCGAGCAGTACTTCTGTCCATATCCACTGCAGTATGGAGTTTCGGGCTCCCTTCCCGAGAAGCCCGAGGCGCACTGGATATGGATGACTTTGCCCTCTGGAGGCTCGATTTTTATCCATGTCCAGTGCACCTCGGCCTTGTGGCGCCCCTTCCAAAAAATCAAAGGCGCACTGGATATGAACATAAATCTTGCCCGCAGTACAGAGCAAAGCGCAAAACAAAGCGACAACACAACGAACAACGACGTTCAGATCCAGCCCTGTGCTGGAGTCTTGCATCCGCCAACTGCTGCCAGGCTGGAGTCGGGCGTGTCCCTCTACAGGAGGACTAGTCAGACATAGGCAAACAACTAGTCGGGGGACGATTTCTCCCTTACTTTCAAGACCATTTCCGAGTATCTTTTGACTCTTGGGCATGTTCCCTTCAAAACCAGCCTGTAGGGGTACATGCCCGACCCAACGCCAGGCGCCCACAGCGCCGCGCCCCAGCACGGCGCACTGCCGCACCCAGCCTTTGCGTATACGCACACGTAATTACGCTGGCCCATGCCCCGGACCCCCTCTCGCCGCCTGTCTTCTGCTGCGCGGCCGCGACCAAAAAGAAGTATACGCACACGTGCCTGGTGCAGGCGGCGCCTCGCTTCCTGGCCGAGGGGGGGGGGGGGACGGGCGCGCCGCGCGCGGGGTGGCGGGGGGCCCCGGCGCTCGAGGCACGTCCACGGCCCGAGTCGCGGCTCCGAGGAGGTGCGTCCGCACGCGAGCACTGAGGCGTGCCTGCCCCTCGACAGGAGGAGCCTTCAAACCCAGTGTCAACACATAGTCCGGGGACGATGTGTGCATATTTTTGGGCTTTTCGTGCGTATTTGGTGACTATTTTCTCATCTCTGGTCCAAGATCCGCAAGCAGAGCTTGTGAGACGTCCACTTCAGTGCTGGAACACGCGCCGCAGCAGGGCAGCCTCAGCGGGGCGTCCTCCCCGCCCAAGGCTGGCAGGGGCCGTCGGGCCTGTCGCCCTGCACTTTGGCCAGAGCCTGCTTCGCTCTCCCTGCTCCCTGCTCCCTCCCTCCCTCCCTCCCTCCCTGCCTCCTGCCTCCTTCCGCTTCCCTGCTTGGGGCCTCCTGGGGTTCAGCCGGCTCCTCGAGCACCCCCCCTAACCCCTGCTAAAACATTCGCCTATCCTCTTGCCTCCTCTTCCTCCTGCCTTCTCTTCCTCCTCCTCCTTCTCCTCCGCCTCTCCCTTTCTCCTCCTCCGCCTCTTCCTCCGCCGCCTTCTCCTGCTTCCCTTCCTTGCTTGCCGATCCGTGGGGGGGCGGATCCCGAGGTGGGCGCAGCACGATGCACAATAGGGGGGTGAGGAGCAAGGACGGAGCGGGCTAACCGCTCTCCAGCCTCTGAGGAGGATGAGGAAGAAGAGGATGAGGATGAGGAGGAGGAGGAGGAGGAGGAGGAGGAGGAGGAGGAGGAGGAGGAGGAGGAGAAGGAGGATGAGGATGACGAGGAGGGGGGGGAGGAGGATGAGGATGAGGATGAGGATGAGGATGAGGATGAGGATGAGGCTGAGG